CTCTGTTGTATTTCTCACGGCCTTTTTGAGAAAATCTCCAAAATTTAAATATTATTTAAAAAAAAATTACTACTTCTACTTCATGTGCTTATTTAGAAACAAACTTTATTAAGAATTAAAGATTAAAAATTACTTGTACTTATAATGCTTAAACAAAATAAAATTATCTAATGATCTAACGTTAAATAGAATAAAAACAACAATGCTTAATGTCAGATAAATTTAAATTTGTGCCACATTATCTTTCCATAGGCTGTAAATGTTTTATTTTCATAAAGAAAAATTATTTAAATGTGAATTCGAACGTTTTCGGAACTATGTCCATCGCCATGTTAATAAAATTGACAAAATGCTTTGCAGACGTTAAAACATCATAAAACACTGTCCAAAAAGACTGGATTATGACGGATTATTTTGACGGATTTTTAATTTATTTAATTTATTATGCTGAATATTAAATGCTGGTTGTTTTGTGCAATTTTTCTAATTTCCAAGGCTCAGATGGAAAATATAGAAAAAACCATTGTTTACTGGGGCTATCTAAGCTGCCATCAAAAGATATTATCATCGAAATGTGGGATAAATGAGCGGAGAGCTACCACACTGACTCATTTTTTCCTTTTTGCGGTGTTACTGACCCAATGTGGGGATGTTGAAAAAAAAACCCTGGTCCTATTGAAACCATTGAAACAGTCTACGGCATCTGCTCAAAAAATTGTGCAAATCTTAAATTTGTTCATTTGAATTTTCAAAGTATTATTAGAAAACGGATGCAATTGAAAAAATTTTGTGATGACATGGGCGAAAATACAATTATAGGAATTTCCGAAACGTGACTTAAAAAAGAAGATAGTGACAATTTATGGAATCTCCACCCTAGAACGCATGCGATGTTCAGATATGATAGGCAATCAGCGGTAAAAAAGAAAGGCGGTGGCGTTTTGTTATATATACCAGTCAAATTGGCTCCGAAATTGAGGCCTGATTTAAATTTGTTTGATAAAGAAAAATATGAGTCAGTGTGGGTTGAGTGCAAATCTACATTTAACATTTCCAGTAAAGAAAAAATGTTAGTTAATTTGTGTTATAATCCAAGCAGCTCAAACTTTATTGATTTTTTGGAACAATTAACGCTTAACATAGATAATGCATTTTCAGTTTCTAATAAAATTACGCTTCTGGGTGATTATAACATAAATTATCTGGATAGCAAAGAAAAAGAAAATTTAGATTCTATAATTATTCCATATGGAGTGAAGGATTTTTGTCCAAACGATGAGACCAGAATTAGTTCCTCAACTAAAACTCATATCGACTACATTATCTGTGACTATGAAACAAACGGCATTGAATTTTGTTTTGATACACCATATAAAACCGACCATTTTGCTTCATTTATTTTGACGGATACAAAATGCGGCAAAAGTTTACCGAGGATAATTTCGACTTTCAATATGAAAAATTATCAGAAAAATGAATTTTGTAATACACTCTCCGCTCTTCCTTGGTATCTCTTATATCAATGTACAGACGCACAAAACATGTTCTCGACGATGATTTATTTAATTTCTAGTGCTCTTCAGCAACATGCTCCTATCCAAAGAAAATTTGTTCGTAATTTTAAACCAAAAAGTGTGTTGAAAACGGAGTGGTTCGATTCAGAATGTCAGCAATTGTTGATTAGGAAACAGAATTCACTCAGATCTTATCGCAGTCAAAGCACAAGCGATAATTGGTCAAAGTACCAGTTTTTACATAATCAACTGAGCCAATTGATTAGAAGTAAACAACTCGATCATTCAAAAAATTGTTTTTCACTTCTCAGCACTATCCAACAAAATTGGAAATATATTAACCAAGTTAGAGGTACATGTTCTGGCAACAATCGAATTACAGTTCTACGAAATTCCTTCAGTGAAATGATAACCCAAAACAAAAAAATTGCCAATCATTTAAATTATATTTTTTCAAACTTAGGCGAATTTTTCGGCGCTAAAAAGCCTCCGAATTACAACAAAACTGGCTCTGAATCTGCACCTTTCCATTTTCAACACATTACAGTGAAGCAATGCTGTGATATAGTTCGAAAAATCAATGTTAGAAAACCTCTCGGACCTTGTACCGAACCTGCTTGGGCAATCATTGACGGTCAATTAGTTATAGTTCCACATTTAACTTTTGTCATAAATACTTGCTTAGATGAGAACATTTTCCCGATCGAACTGAAAAAAGCACACGTAACCCCTTTGTTTAAAAAAGATGAACCAATGGATGCAAAAAATTATCGGCCAATATCAATAACTTGTGCTTTTTCTAAAATTTTTGAAAAAAATTTACATGCCCAAATAACAGAACATCTTGACAAATTTCAAATAATGACACCATTTCAATTCGGATTTCGCAAAAACATTTCAACACAAGATGCTCTCGAAATTAAATAGATTCAAAAAAGTCGTACATGCAGCTTTATTAGATCTGTCCAAGGCTTTTGATTCTATTTCGCATGAAGTTTTAATTGAAAAAATGCTTTCCCTCGGTTTTTCAAATGGAGCAAATGCTTTAATTGCTAGCTTCCTAAGCAAACGTATTCAAAGAGTAAACGTCAATGGAATCTTTTCAGACTGGATTGAAATCAAACGAGGTGTCCCACAAGGAACGGTACTTGGTCCGTTGTTGTTCAATTTATATGTTAATGACATACAAGAGCGATTATATGAAGGTTGTACTTTAGTTCAATATGCTGACGACTGTATGGTTTTTTCCTCCTCTATAATTTCTGAGGATGCTTTGTATCGATTGCAAAAATCACTCAATAATCTAGCGGATTTTTTTGCACAGAACCAATTGAATCTGAATGCATCTAAATCGGAATTTATAACATTTTGTCAAAAAAACGATAGCAAAAATGTAGATACTGATACAATAGTAATTAATGGGCATTATGTAGCCAAAAATCAGAATGCAAATATTTAGGCCTTATTCTTGATTCAAGTTTATCTTTTCATGCTCAAATCAAAACAATTCTCCAAAAAATGGCACAAGGAATTAAAACTATAGATACAATTGGACAACAACTGCCGACATTATCATTAGTTGCCTTGCTTCATTGTCTTGTTTTATCACATTTAGATTATTCAGCAATATTTTTACAACAAATTAAATTAGTTTGATGCTATCTCTAGAGAAACAGTTGAACTGGGCGTTAAAAAGAACATATTTCAGATCGAAATTTAAATCTTCTTCCCTTCTTCGCTTTAGCAAATCGTTCATTGGAATCGAGAAAAGAATTGAGTTAAAGTGTATAACATACTTATACCAAAATCTTACAAACAAAAAGAAGGCTTTTCAAAATACATTGAGACTACCGACTGCCAATTATAGGCTCAACAAAAGATCGAAACAAATTTTTTTTGACAAACATTGTTCAACCGCTTCTCTACAAAAATCATTTTTTCATTTGACTTCTAAGAAATGGAATTCACTGCCCATAATTTTGTTCAATTTAGAAAAATCGAGAACAGGATTCAAGAAAAAATTGAAAGAATTTTACGTGAGTGAATTGAGAAACAATCCAATATGTACAAATACAAATACGTGGCGTGATTTCCGTTTTTGCTAGTTCTATATGTTTTAGTTTAGTTTAATTTTCCAGACATTGTTTGAATCAGAATCTGTATATACTCTGTATATACGCTGTATGTTTGGACTATCTATAAAATTGTTTGTAAAGTTTTAATACCAGCTCGTTCTTAATTCTTAAAACTGATGTTTTTTTAGTATCCGTAACTTCATATATTTTAATCAACCAATTTCTGAACTGTAACCGAACTTGTGTTGTTTTGTTTTGTTTTGTTTATTGCTTGGTTTCTGATGTTGTGTTTTTGTTTGATATAACCAATGAATTTTAACCAACTTTATTATTAACACTTTGCTATACTGATGCCTCGGCTTTTTACTGTATAGTAATTCATGTGTTCTTTTTTCTTCTTCTTCAACACCATTAAGTGGTTTATTTTCATAGTTTATTTTGAGAATGCGTTAAAATTGTAAATTCAAACAAACGTTTTCGCACATTTTTGTGCATCTTCAGGTTTTAAAAATTCTAAACTATCTTTACTTTTGTCTTTGGAAGCTATCTAAATCGCACAACTGGACCCGCAGCTAAATACTAGTGAAGAGTATGCGCAGCGACACTTGACCCTGAAACTGTGAGCAGAGGTAGACGCGGGATTTTCTTGTTTCTGTGTTCTGATGTATATCAGCTAGTAACTTGTTTCTGTCATTGTGTAGTGTCTGTATTTATAATCAGTTCCTTTTTTGATTTTCAGTTCTGATGATGATAATAAAATTGAAACGCGTCAAACTTTGATGTTTTCTAATATCTGTACAAAATGATCAAAGATCATAAAAAGTGTCATACACATGTAACAGTCGCCTACTTAGGTCACATATGAGGTTTAAGATAAATAGTCCCTATAATCTTTGGCTCAAGAGTCAGGGACACTATCTCTTGTGTTTTTCTACCTCAAACGGTCGGAGCTAATTCGGTTCACTTGCGACATGAGACTAAAACCTTTGTTTGCACCCGCGACATGTGCATGAATTTTTAGGTCAATTTTTTTCTCGGTAGAAAAGGTCTTTTTTCAGGCCAGCGATGCTTAAACACTGCCGAAAACCAAGCAGAATCACTATATGACTAAATTTTTTTGGCAAAAAATTATCTATACCGATTTTATCTTTTTTACTAACCAAAACTCATTCTTCAATAAGATTCCGTGAAAAAAACGCCTTCCAATTATTACTTTCAGATTGATCTTCTTTTCTCGTAGGAAATGGAAGAACAAAAAAGATAAACTCAATTAAATCACTATTTACAACTTTTCTTCTATCTGCGCTGTGCCGCAAATTTTACATCAACCAGTTATTTGTTAACCCAAGTACTTTTAGGGCCAGCCAAACTTTCCCATGACCCTATAAAATCCAACATTTTCTATAATAAACTACGCTCGCAACCTCGCTAGTGTAAAAATTTTAAGCATAGTACGGGTTTCTATACACACCATGACGTTTTCGAAATGAAGAGGACAAGTGGAGGATGCCCGGATGCACATTTTGTCCTCCTTCTTCCCAATTGTCAAACCGGGAGTGTCGCGGGGGACGAGGAAGGCGGTGATGCCCTTGTAACCCTTAGAGGGGTCTGTGTTGGCGAACACGACAAACAGTCCTGCCTGCTCCGAATTACTACAAAAAACCTCACTCAAATTATTCATATTCACTGCTTCCTCTTAAACTACTTCTGATTTATTCGGTCAGACACAATCAACTTCAATAGAATACCCTGCAACAACGCCTTTCTAGTTATTTATCATAACCAATTCAATTGCATTTATCTATTACAAAATCATTGAATTGAGTATATGGCTAAATACAAGTACCTGATCCACAATTTTGTTCCGTTTATTACATAATTTCCCTTTCCGTCTGGTTTTGCAACAGTCTTCATTGCAAACGCATCACTGCCCGATGTCGCCTCTGACAGACAAAAAGATCCGACGGTATCTGAGACCAACTTGGGGAGCCAGTATTTTTTCTGCTCCTCGTTGCCATGTTGCATTATCACTGTCGTTATTAGCGTGTTGTGAATATCAACGAGAATTGCGACCGAAGGGTCCACTCTCGCCACTTCTTCCACGGCAAGAATAGAAGAGAAAAAGCTGGAGCCTAAACAAAACTTTATAAACAGAGGCGAAGCTAAGCTTCGAACCATTTGCGATTTTAAAAAGCATGTTCAAAAGACCATGTGTCTCAAACAAGTGAAAAAATTAAGCGAATTCTGTAGAAGAAAATGTAGGCTAAAAAAGATCAAGAAAAAGTCTCCAATAAACTGTCCAAATTAGACTTTTTTTACTTCAAAAACTAGGGCGTATTCGCTTATGACTGGACGATTTCCATTATCTATTTTTTAAAACTTATTCTTTAACTTGGGAGGGTAGTTTTTGAGAAAAGTTTAAAAGAGTTTAAAAAAATTGATATTTGATTTTTCCGAAGACCATAACTTTTTGTGTAAAAAAATGAGCGTAACCGCTGATGCAGTGTGTTTTACACAATCCATTTGTTTTATTGAATTCAAAACCTCAGATATGAAGGGTAGTTTTCAAGAAGTCAGAAAATCTTCCCACAACCCGATTCTTTATTGAACCCAAAATTCAATTTGGGAAAGCAGTTTTCGAGAAAGCAAAAAAACTTTAGGTCAAACATTCTCATTTATCGAAGGCTGTAGAAAGTGGGGTAAAATAAAAAGAAACCAGGGGAATATTTAGGCACACAGGGGAAAGAGCTGTCCTTCCATTGGTATTACTTATTTTGGAAATCGGTAGTAGCTTTTGCGAAAAACTAAAATTTAAGAAAAAGGAGAAAAAAAATCCAAAGCGTCTCAAAGAAATGCCAAAACCAATACATTTTCATAATATCTGTTTTTATCAAACAGGAGTTTTATCAAAAAAAATATCCAAAAAGAACCACGCTCGCGTATTTTGTGCTATCTTTCGCCACATACCTTCTCAGAAAGGTCAAGTCAAAATAGCAAAGTCAATTCAACATTGTAAACAAAAAAGTTCTTGAAATTTATGAACAATTCTTTATCGAAAAGTTTCTCAGAATAAAACAATACGCTGTGCCATCAGATTGAATTGATTTTGAAAGAAATTGCTTGAACCAAAATGCTCCAAAAAATTAATCAAAACGAATTCTACGCACTTTTAGGACAAAATAAAATAAATCAGAAACTTGCATCCAAAAAAAAATGAAAATATAATGCAAAACATTTTCTAGCATTAGAGTTTTTCGATTTTTGTTTACTAATTCGCTAACAGTAAGCATAAAGCGCATATAAGTTTCGCTCGTATTAAACCAGCACCCCATGAGCTCTTTTTACCATTTGAAGAAAAAAAACTATTGAAAAACTATCAAACTATCAACACAGAGGCGATACTACTTGCACCACTAGCAATACCAGATAAAAAAGAACAAAAAAAACTTCAAAAAACCATAAATTAAAATATCAAAATGCTGCCTGGAATCGTGTTCTTTGCGGAAAACATCTCCAGAAACACAACCGACGGCAATAAATGGAAACTCAAAAAAAAAATTAACAAACGGAGATGAAACTCGTACAATTTCCCGTAGAGCCGAAAATATAACTGTTGTCATGAAAAACTTTGAGCTATAAATTATATTCTAAGCATTTCTGCATTTTGTGCAATCCATAATGAAGCAAAAATCTTATGCCTCCCTTGAAATGACCCCGTGTTAGGCCGACATTTTTTTGACACAGAGGCGAAGCTGCACTTCGCAAACACTTGCGAGAACACTATCAAAAAGCAGCTCTAGAAAAAAACGCGATAAAAAAACAGAAAACTCAGTAGGTGAACAACTCGGCTAGGTTTAAGATTCGATCTGCGACTTACTGCAATCAAGGGATTTTGAGTCTCACGCACTATCCACTTAACCAGATAAAATAATCTTCAATACAGATGGCTAAGACACCGAGGGTTATGACACCGAAGATTTACCTACACCGCCATAATTAACGGGAACTTCAATTCCCATAAAGCCATTTGCAAACAGTTCATCAATCAGTCCTTGGTCCATGTTTGCGTTCTCGTCCATTTTTCTCACTAAAGGCTTCAATCTTTCATTAGCAAATTTCTCTACGGCCTCTTGAATAGATTTTTCATCTTCGGATATCGAGGTCAGAGGAGCGAAGCTGAATTCCATATCATTGATGTCCCTTGTATTTGCGTTTGATAAAAGTCTCAAAGAACAAAAATTTGATGCCTTGGCCAAGCAACTGAAGCTTTTTTGGGCAATCCTAGTTCCCGCCGAAACAAACATTTCATTAAAAACTAAAAATAAAATCAAGAGTCTCGCTGGGGAAAGACTGGTAATACTAGCTCAACAACTTCCTACATGCTAACCGAGATCCAATGGTTTCAATGTTCTTTACTTGCAACACCCTGAAAAAAACTCAATTTTGTGCCGGATGAAAACTGAGGAGTGAAAACCCTTGGACAACTGTCCAAAAGCCTATACTACCACTACGAGATCTTCATGACAACTTACACACCGATACGTAAATCTCGAGCCAACTTGCATCCGACCAGTAAATAGTGATGCTAAGTTGCAATTTCGGTAGTAAGGTGCTACCTGGCATCAAGATTTATTTCCATAGTCCGAAAGCCAGGTTGAATTTTTCACGCAAAATTGAGTATATTTCTGATTTTTCCCCTTTTTACCATATTAATCCCCCAAAATCATCAGAATTTTAAGGTATCAGCCAATCTGAGTTTCAGTCAGTTCTGATCAGTAGATTTTTTGGAATTATTTAATGAATTTTAAGAAATGAAATTGTGCACAAATTAATTTCAGTTCTCTGTTGTATTTCTCACGGCCTTTTTGAGAAAATCTCCAAAATTTAAATATTATTTAAAAAAAAATTACTACTTCTACTTCATGTGCTTATTTAGAAACAAACTTTATTAAGAATTAAAGATTAAAAATTACTTGTACTTATAATGCTTAAACAAAATAAAATTATCTAATGATCTAACGTTAAATAGAATAAAAACAACAATGCTTAATGTCAGATAAATTTAAATTTGTGCCACATTATCTTTCCATAGGCTGTAAATGTTTTATTTTCATAAAGAAAAATTATTTAAATGTGAATTCGAACGTTTTCGGAACTATGTCCATCGCCATGTTAATAAAATTGACAAAATGCTTTGCAGACGTTAAAACATCATAAAACACTGTCCAAAAAGACTGGATTATGACGGATTATTTTGACGGATTTTTAATTTATTTAATTTATTATGCTGAATATTAAATGCTGGTTGTTTTGTGCAATTTTTCTAATTTCCAAGGCTCAGATGGAAAATATAGAAAAAACCATTGTTTACTGGGGCTATCTAAGCTGCCATCAAAAGATATTATCATCGAAATGTGGGATAAATGAGCGGAGAGCTACCACACTGACTCATTTTTTCCTTTTTGCGGTGTTACTGACCCAATGTGGGGATGTTGAAAAAAAACCCTGGTCCTATTGAAACCATTGAAACAGTCTACGGCATCTGCTCAAAAAATTGTGCAAATCTTAAATTTGTTCATTTGAATTTTCAAAGTATTATTAGAAAACGGATGCAATTGAAAAAATTTTGTGATGACATGGGCGAAAATACAATTATAGGAATTTCCGAAACGTGACTTAAAAAAGAAGATAGTGACAATTTATGGAATCTCCACCCTAGAACGCATGCGATGTTCAGATATGATAGGCAATCAGCGGTAAAAAAGAAAGGCGGTGGCGTTTTGTTATATATACCAGTCAAATTGGCTCCGAAATTGAGGCCTGATTTAAATTTGTTTGATAAAGAAAAATATGAGTCAGTGTGGGTTGAGTGCAAATCTACATTTAACATTTCCAGTAAAGAAAAAATGTTAGTTAATTTGTGTTATAATCCAAGCAGCTCAAACTTTATTGATTTTTTGGAACAATTAACGCTTAACATAGATAATGCATTTTCAGTTTCTAATAAAATTACGCTTCTGGGTGATTATAACATAAATTATCTGGATAGCAAAGAAAAAGAAAATTTAGATTCTATAATTATTCCATATGGAGTGAAGGATTTTTGTCCAAACGATGAGACCAGAATTAGTTCCTCAACTAAAACTCATATCGACTACATTATCTGTGACTATGAAACAAACGGCATTGAATTTTGTTTTGATACACCATATAAAACCGACCATTTTGCTTCATTTATTTTGACGGATACAAAATGCGGCAAAAGTTTACCGAGGATAATTTCGACTTTCAATATGAAAAATTATCAGAAAAATGAATTTTGTAATACACTCTCCGCTCTTCCTTGGTATCTCTTATATCAATGTACAGACGCACAAAACATGTTCTCGACGATGATTTATTTAATTTCTAGTGCTCTTCAGCAACATGCTCCTATCCAAAGAAAATTTGTTCGTAATTTTAAACCAAAAAGTGTGTTGAAAACGGAGTGGTTCGATTCAGAATGTCAGCAATTGTTGATTAGGAAACAGAATTCACTCAGATCTTATCGCAGTCAAAGCACAAGCGATAATTGGTCAAAGTACCAGTTTTTACATAATCAACTGAGCCAATTGATTAGAAGTAAACAACTCGATCATTCAAAAAATTGTTTTTCACTTCTCAGCACTATCCAACAAAATTGGAAATATATTAACCAAGTTAGAGGTACATGTTCTGGCAACAATCGAATTACAGTTCTACGAAATTCCTTCAGTGAAATGATAACCCAAAACAAAAAAATTGCCAATCATTTAAATTATATTTTTTCAAACTTAGGCGAATTTTTCGGCGCTAAAAAGCCTCCGAATTACAACAAAACTGGCTCTGAATCTGCACCTTTCCATTTTCAACACATTACAGTGAAGCAATGCTGTGATATAGTTCGAAAAATCAATGTTAGAAAACCTCTCGGACCTTGTACCGAACCTGCTTGGGCAATCATTGACGGTCAATTAGTTATAGTTCCACATTTAACTTTTGTCATAAATACTTGCTTAGATGAGAACATTTTCCCGATCGAACTGAAAAAAGCACACGTAACCCCTTTGTTTAAAAAAGATGAACCAATGGATGCAAAAAATTATCGGCCAATATCAATAACTTGTGCTTTTTCTAAAATTTTTGAAAAAAATTTACATGCCCAAATAACAGAACATCTTGACAAATTTCAAATAATGACACCATTTCAATTCGGATTTCGCAAAAACATTTCAACACAAGATGCTCTCGAAATTAAATAGATTCAAAAAAGTCGTACATGCAGCTTTATTAGATCTGTCCAAGGCTTTTGATTCTATTTCGCATGAAGTTTTAATTGAAAAAATGCTTTCCCTCGGTTTTTCAAATGGAGCAAATGCTTTAATTGCTAGCTTCCTAAGCAAACGTTTTCAAAGAGTAAACGTCAATGGAATCTTTTCAGACTGGATTGAAATCAAACGAGGTGTCCCACAAGGAACGGTACTTGGTCCGTTGTTGTTCAATTTATATGTTAATGACATACAAGAGCGATTATATGAAGGTTGTACTTTAGTTCAATATGCTGACGACTGTATGGTTTTTTCCTCCTCTATAATTTCTGAGGATGCTTTGTATCGATTGCAAAAATCACTCAATAATCTAGCGGATTTTTTTGCACAGAACCAATTGAATCTGAATGCATCTAAATCGGAATTTATAACATTTTGTCAAAAAAACGATAGCAAAAATGTAGATACTGATACAATAGTAATTAATGGGCATTATGTAGCCAAAAATCAGAATGCAAATATTTAGGCCTTATTCTTGATTCAAGTTTGTCTTTTCATGCTCAAATCAAAACAATTCTCCAAAAAATGGCACAAGGAATTAAAACTATAGATACAATTGGACAACAACTGCCGACATTATCATTAGTTGCCTTGCTTCATTGTCTTGTTTTATCACATTTAGATTATTCAGCAATATTTTTACAACAAATTAAATTAGTTTGATGCTATCTCTAGAGAAACAGTTGAACTGGGCGTTAAAAAGAACATATTTCAGATCGAAATTTAAATCTTCTTCCCTTCTTCGCTTTAGCAAATCGTTCATTGGAATCGAGAAAAGAATTGAGTTAAAGTGTATAACATACTTATACCAAAATCTTACAAACAAAAAGAAGGCTTTTCAAAATACATTGAGACTACCGACTGCCAATTATAGGCTCAACAAAAGATCGAAACAAATTTTTTTTGACAAACATTGTTCAACCGCTTCTCTACAAAAATCATTTTTTCATTTGACTTCTAAGAAATGGAATTCACTGCCCATAATTTTGTTCAATTTAGAAAAATCGAGAACAGGATTCAAGAAAAAATTGAAAGAATTTTACGTGAGTGAATTGAGAAACAATCCAATATGTACAAATACAAATACGTGGCGTGATTTCCGTTTTTGCTAGTTCTATATGTTTTAGTTTAGTTTAATTTTCCAGACATTGTTTGAAAGAGAATCTGTATATACTCTGTATATACGCTGTATGTTTGGACTATCTATAAAATTGTTTGTAAAGTTTTAATACCAGCTCGTTCTTAATTCTTAAAACTGATGTTTTTTTAGTATCCGTAACTTCATATATTTTAATCAACCAATTTCTGAACTGTAACCGAACTTGTGTTGTTTTGTTTTGTTTTGTTTATTGCTTGGTTTCTGATGTTGTGTTTTTGTTTGATATAACCAATGAATTTTAACCAACTTTATTATTAACACTTTGCTATACTGATGCCTCGGCTTTTTACTGTATAGTAATTCATGTGTTCTTTTTTCTTCTTCTTCAACACCATTAAGTGGTTTATTTTCATAGTTTATTTTGAGAATGCGTTAAAATTGTAAATTCAAACAAACGTTTTCGCACATTTTTGTGCATCTTCAGGTTTTAAAAATTCTAAACTATCTTTACTTTTGTCTTTGGAAGCTATCTAAATCGCACAACTGGACCCGCAGCTAAATACTAGTGAAGAGTATGCGCAGCGACACTTGACCCTGAAACTGTGAGCAGAGGTAGACGCGGGATTTTCTTGTTTCTGTGTTCTGATGTATATCAGCTAGTAACTTGTTTCTGTCATTGTGTAGTGTCTGTATTTATAATCAGTTCCTTTTTTGATTTTCAGTTCTGATGATGATAATAAAATTGAAACGCGTCAAACTTTGATGTTTTCTAATATCTGTACAAAATGATCAAAGATCATAAAAAGTGTCATACACATGTAACAGTCGCCTACTTAGGTCACATATGAGGTTTAAGATAAATAGTCCCTATAAT